TCTCAGCTTAAAAGCCTATTAAGAAAATTGTATAGAACGTAAACTGTACTCGCACGTGAAAACCAATGGTAAGTTGTAGCACGCAAGGAAATGAGTCAGTAGGAAATTAAACACAACTTACTATTTTCTCAATGTAAAAAGCCACAGGCAGGATTAATCCTTCTGTGCATATCTAAAGGTGATTCTCAGATCACCTACACAAAGAACCAGTTCTCTGTTTTGCCATGTTATTGCAGCTCTTTTTAATGATTCATGACAAAGTGCTTCAAAGAGCTCCAAGCCATGACAACAATCCTGGATCTGACCTACTCATTCTCATCTCAGCAAAAAAATCCTTCTTGGTGAATAATTTAGGTTTGTGAAGAGAGTTGCCTTAAAACTATTCCCAAAAGAAAGAGCAACGTCTGGAATTTAATCTCATCGTGGAAATAAAAATAAAAACAAAATATCAAAAGAAAGTAGAGACTGCAATAACAATACAAGCCTTATTTTGCAGAATTCATCCGTTGTGAAACTCCACAGAAGGGAACACAGCTGTTTTCCCTGAAATATGTTTCATGTTTCCAAAGAGCAAAGATTAAATCTAAAGCTTTGACTTTCAACTTACGATAGACAAACCCATGCAAGGATGACACAACTACTGTTCAGGGCTATTGAGGAAAGAAAAAGGTCATTTAGAGCTAAAGGTGAAAACACAAATTTGACCACAGCCTGTAGTAAATCCTCTGCTGACTCAGGCCACACGGCGGGAGCAGACTTGCAACACCCTCCCAAAATCTGAGGCAATTCTCCCCTCACTTCAAGCTTAGGGTTGAGTTTTATATTTGCTCTGTTGCAAAGGCTGAGGGCTCATGCACTGCAGGAGGCTCACACCATCTCCCCCATATAACTCGTGGCATCTGGTGCTGAACACAAAATGCTTACAGCACCAAAAAGGCATAAAAACTGAAGCATGGCACCTGGGGAAAAAAAGCTACGTACAAAATACAGCACATCTGTGCACCTCCACCTTAATGCTGAATTTTCTAGCGAGCATTTAAGTTTCATTCCTCTCCCAAATTCCTGACACAATATGCAGGGATTATGTTACGTCACTTCAAATGCTTAATCTTCTCCTCAACGGGCTGATTGGGATATTCTTATACATTAAACTCAGATGAGCCATTCTCATCACTTTGCCTCAACAGCAATAAGTAGCTTCAGTTTCACAGCCATTTTACAAAGATTTCTCATGATGACTGCCATCTTCATCTTCCTTATATGAAATGCTATGACATTTTGAAGGATAGTTAATCCAAATCATATCTCACCCTGAATTTGAAATAACCAGCATAACCAAAACCAGCCAATACTGAAATATCTTTAATAATGATAACAACTCTAATAGTATATCTTCTGGTCCCTGGGACACAGAGAAATATCTAAGGTGCCTTCTCTGTGTGGTGGGTCAGGATGCACCATGTGTGGATGTGTCATGTGCACCCTCAATGGGAAGAAAAACCTCATCCAAGGGTACATCAGGGCACAGCCCCCATTCAGATCTTGTTTTAGCACAAAAACACAAACACCCTTGCCCTGGCAGAACCAAGGGCTGTTCTGGAGCCCTCACATTTTCACACTGACACTATTTATTTTGGGGGTGAACTGCTCTATTCCAATTGCTCCTGCTTTGAAATGCCTCCAGGATGGCAGCGTGTATCTGGGACTCATCTCCATGTTTTAGACTGCAAATGTTTTGCTCCAGCTCAGCTACATGTTGTGCTCAGCACAAAAATTTTCTACTTCTAGGTGATCCAAAATGGGGAAGATTTTGCTTTGAATTAGAATTCCATTGCTAAACCTCTCCTTTCTTATTTTAGAAAGAGACAAACACTCATCCCTGCCATCCACAATGCAAATCACCGCTAGTCCCACCAGGTCTTGCCCTCAGAGGGAAAGCCAGGCTTTACCCTTGGTTTGCCAGGGAAGCTGACACTGGGACAGAGCCCTGAAAAGAATAGTTAATGAGCTGAAAGGACAGACCTTTCACCAGCAACAATGCCCTGGAAATTAGCCGGACAAAGCAGGTGACACGCTGTGTGCACAGGTATGGTTATGCTCCCCTGGGGACTGCATGGCTCTCTGAGCACATCCCATCAGCAGAGCTGAGGACAACAGCTAAACCTTGATGACCATCCCCAATCTGAAACACCCCTTTTGTGGGGGGTAAAACCCAAGCCCTGATTAATTACTACATGATCAGGTGGCTTTGTGAGGGCTGAAATAGATCCTTCAACCAGCGCTCACCCCACGGTTCACCCAGTACAGCCCTCCCCAGCCATGTGAAATGCCAGCTACTTGCTGAGACATGTTTGCTGAGGCTAAGCAGATCTACTGGAGATACCACAGACACAGAGTACCAGCGTACACTGAGCAGCTTGGCATATGCTTGCACAAAGAAAATATATCTGGATTATCAGCGTTTCTTTTGGGGCAGACTGTGGTGAATTCCATATTTTTTTTCCTTTCCCTCAAACCCTTTGCTAAAACTTCTTCCTCTTCAGTGATTATCATTACAAGATAGAACAGGTGTCAGAGACAGCTGTACATGGCCACCAAAATCTGTCACACCAGGCAAGAGACACCTTTGAGCTCTCAGAAATAATTACTATCAAAGCCAGCGCTTGGCATAAAGACACCGAACTGCTCAGGCTCATAGTGAGCAGTTACCGTATTTACACACGCCTCAAATACATCCATTGCTACATGTAGATTGGAATTAAAGCAGCACTTTGCTTATTGAATAACTAATAAGCTCAGCTCTTTCAACGTAAGTCGTAGAAGAGAGGGTTTCAGTTTTGGAAAGCTCAAGAATTTCCTTTAATTTTTCTCCAGCTTGTACATGAGTTTCCTAGTTTGGGGGAAGTTCAAATTGCCATCAGCTAAAGCTGCACCCAAAATTTTTATTAGCAGAAGGGGAGGGAAAATGGCTTTCCCTTCCCACAGTTTCCTCCAAGACCATTCCTGCGCACAGTGCAGAGGAGGAAATGACCCTGAGCCACAGCAGGGCAGGATTCCAGCCCTAGATGGGATGTGGATCAGTTTGTTTAAGACAAGTCTCCCCAGTGCACATCTTCACCACTCAGCCACCAGTGACTCCAAAATGAGCCTTTTCCACTCTCCTGCATTTTTTTCTTCCTTTCCACTCTCCTGCATTTTTTTTCTTCCTTGTATAAGGAATTGGATAATGACAATTTATTTCAAGGGTTTGAACTGAGATCTGCCATACCTCAGTGTCCTGGTTTTTAGCTGAGACAGGGCTAAGTTTCTTTTTCTTATCTCACCCTACAAGTCTCCTTAGCCTTGCCCCCCAATTCTCTCCTCTGTCCCCTGGGCAGGGGGAGTGAGCGAGCAGCTGGGTCTGGCTGCAGCCAAGTGAAACCACCACACTCAAGTACATTTTTTGATCACCAGGCTGCAGAAAAAATCTCTCCCTTCAGTCCTGTTGCCATTTAATAACACACACCCCAAAGCATCCCCAGGACAGTGCAACGAGAGCCCCGGGAGCTGATTTAGAGCCATGCAGTGCAAATGCCCAAAGCATAATAAAAAAATATCACATCAACCCCCCCACCCTATCACACCAACCTACCCAGAACCAGGGCTTTCACCCCAAAAGCTCCCTGCCACGTTGGCCACCCCCTCCCCAGCCTTGTCCCCAAAGTGCCACCCCCTCCTTCTTCCCCATCCCATGCGGGGCTGCAGAGGCAAGCTGTTCCCGGCATGTCGGCACGTCTCACATGAAACCCAGGGCCAGGAACAAGGCAGCTGCCTGTGCGCAACGTGCAGGCTGTGTGTGGTAGGGCTGTACTCATCGCCTGCCAACACCCGGGCTGGGAACACGGCAGGGATGGTCACTGCCAATGGGATCCGGCAGGAATGAAGCCATGTGGGAAACTTCAAATGGGAGCGGAGCTGAGTGCATGGCGTGTCCTTCCCAAGCGCTGCCTGAACGGGCAGGATGGTTGGATTCGGTTGGTTTTAATAACGTGGGTGGGTGTGGGAAAAGGGGAGCGTGGGCAGCGGTGTGCTGGGAGAGGGGCTGAGATGAACCGAGGATCAGCAGAGGCATTTATCTGCAGTGTGTTTTAAATCCATTCCTATGAAGGAGAGTAGAGATCCGACTCTGATCTTCACCCGTTTCAGTTACACAAGCAAAAAATGTGGAATCTGGATTTTTAAAGATGCTATTTTAGCTGTTACTGAAATCAGAAACAGACTCTGTAAGGGAGAGGGAACATATATTTACATCCATAAAGTTCCTGCGTGTTGCTACCCTGTTCTTCACGGAGCAGAACATTGCTGGAGTGTTCATTAAAGCAATCCTAAATTGATCTGATTTCCTGCCACATTCCACATGCTAAACCCACCTAACAATGCTCTTAGGAATATTATTTTCTCCTATTTAATCCACTAAGCTTTCCTTTAGATTTGAAAGCCTGTTAAAGCTAGAAAATCATATTAAAGTCGATAGATAACACCATTTCCCAGCTGAGGCTTCTCCAAATCTTATTTCCAAGGTGCATGGGAATTTCTGCAGAGGGTTGGTTTCCCCCCCACCACCACCTATTTCCCCATTCACACAAATACCCCCCAGCAAACCTCCTCCTGGTGAGCAATGTCCCAGCCGGGCAGGGGCAGGAGCCTGCGCTCCCACCCCCGGGATGCTTGAGGTGGGGCGGGGTGGGATGGGGGGGGTGTCCCGGTCCCCTCCCTCCCCTCCGGGGCTGGGGAAGCAGAGGGAGCTGGGGAGTTGTTCAGCATATTAATGAGCCAGGAGCAAGGACAGCAGGAGCTGTTTTAAAAGAGGACGAGGGGAGGAAGGCGAGAGGCAGAACACAGGCAGAACACCCGCTCTCCTCTCTCCCTGGTGACATCCAGGGTGACATCCAGCCCCAGGGGACAAAGCCAGCAAACCCATTAAAATCTCCAGCATCTCTTCAGGTTTCTACTGTCTCACCATGAAGCTCCTGACAGCAGCTCTGCTCCTGCTCTTCATCGCAATGTGCTTAGCCAGTGCAGAAGGTAAGTTAATTTATTCTGCTTATTCCCACATAAACCTCTTTTCCAGTAATTTTTCTTTGCTTCTTGATAGCCTTGGGTTGGATTTAGCTGTCCCCTGCATGCTGGGACAGAGTAAGGTATTAATTCAGTGGGTAAGGTGGCTGTGAGGGTTTTTTTAAAGGTGGAAGTAAAAGTAAAATACCTCTGAACACCTCTAAAATACCAATGAAGACACAAAGTTGTGTCTTCATCAGAAGCCAAATAGCCCCAGCTCACAGCGTGGGAGGTCACACCGTGCTCTCTGTTATTCAGGAATAAAGCTCAAATATCTCCTTCAAAACCCAGGGTGGTTTTCACGAGGAAAACAGAGCAGAGCTGGGTTCGATGCAGTAGCACAAATTCTGCCGAGTGTGCCAGTGTGTGTTTTCTGCTCTGCACAGAAATGACGGTTAAAAAAAAACCCCTCAGCTTTTGTCTGGCTGTAAATGCACCACAGCATCCGTGAGGAGAAACAACTCAAAGTCCTACAAAGTCCAAGAGAGACACGAGTGAATGCGAAAGTAGCCGAGATGTGTGTTTGCTTACTCAGTTTAAAGCGAGTTCCGACTCTTTCATTTCCTTTTGTTAAATACATTTAATCACAGCAGGTGCACTTTTAAAAGCTCTCACGTTTATTTACTAACCCTCAGAACATATAGAGCACTCTAAAAACATATTTCCTAGAGTTACTACCTTTTCCTGGAATACAGCAAAGAAAATATTACTTTTTTTAAACTCAACAGCATAACAAAATTCAGTATTTCCCACTGAGGCTTGAAAGACCCAAGTGAAGTTTGAATGAGCACAGAGGCTGGCAGGGAAGGGACGCTTGGTATGCAGGAGGCTTTGCAGGCACTTGAGAAAACACTTTTTCTTGTAGGCGTAAAGTGCAAATGCTCAAGAAAAGGTCCTAAAATAAGATTCTCTAACGTACGGAAGCTGGAAATAAAACCGAGGTACCCGTTCTGCGTGGAAGAGATGATTATGTAAGTTTTTCTTTCATTTATTGCTTTCTGTCTCCCTATCAGCTGAATTGTTTTACCTTGTATTGCAAGTTCCCTCTTTGTTCTTTGTTTTTCTCATGCTAATTTCTAGAACTAGGCATTTGCTGTATCTGATGCAATAAAAAGTGCAATTCTGACCAAAACCCCAGCTATTTAATTTTTTTTCCTCAAGATAATTATTTTTGCTCCAAGAAATATTTACAGAACAGATAGCTATAAAAGGATAATCATTAGTTCAAGTGAAGGCAGGGACAAATCCTGCTCCAAGCTGCCTGATATAAAATCCAGAACTATTTACTCGAGTTATTTGGGCTGTGCAGAATAAGAATGTGAGCAGAGTTTGGTCCATGGTGGTTTCTGCAAGGAAGAGTTATCCCAACCAAAGTCAGATTTTCATCTACGTTATACCAGAGCCATCCCCGTGCACGCGATGGGATTACCTGGCATGGAAGGAAACACTTTCCTCCCCGTCTCCCTGCAAGCTGTGACCAATGCTGCCGTGAAATCTCAGGGTGATGTAGTGACTCTCTGAACCAAGGCAGGTACAGGGATTTTTTTAACATCTCTACTGCCTCAAAATTAAGGGTTTTCTTTTTTTAATTTTAAAAATGAGTGGTTTGTGGGTTTGTTTTGGGGGGGGTTTTGTTGTTGTTTTTTTTTTTTTATCCTGTTTTGGATATCCTAAGATCCCCCAACAAAACACCATCCAACCAGCACATGGGGCTAGGTAAGGACCAGAAGGGCAGATCAGCCAAGATGACTGCGCCAAGCTCCTCTGCCACCTAAGAGTGGGAAAAGGGTCCAGAAAGCAGCTACACCCCCAGGACACCATGGACTGATTTACTCCAGCATCTGCATTCTCTCACTGAGCATTTGCCATTCACTTCATCTTAGAAAAAAGCTTTAACAGCAGGATTTCATCGAGTCCTGTCCTGTTGTCTACCAACTCCAGTGCTTTGAAATGCCCACGGGGCCAAATCCTGCCCATTCAACCAGCACAAACAAGGAGATACCACAGGAGCCCGATCCTGCCCACACAGAAACAAGCTGGCCAGACTCAGCAGAGGTTGTACAGCGGAGGAATGAAGAGCCAAGCGTCCTTAGGCTTCCTCCAGATTTCCACCAACATCACTATGAGCAATGCTCAGCTCAGGGAACATCAGACCCATTTCTTTGAAGCCCAAATCAGCTGATGGTGACCTGAACAGAAAAATCTTTGCAGAGCATCACTGCTGAAATCTGTTCCTTGTAGCTTTGCTTTCTTTGTTTTGACCTTTCAATAGCAGAATGATGGTGTAAGAGGAACACTAAACTCTTCACATCCCACTTCAAGCATTTGCCCAAAAGCAGCTGGTGGCCAGGAGGGTATAAAATAAATCTCATTAATGCAACATTTCACTTTCAATCAGGAAGTCTGGAGAGCTGGAACGCTGCTCACCAGAGGTTGCTTTCCCAGCTGGATATGCAGATGCCGAGCAATCCTATTCAACCCTGGAGCATTGCCTTGGGTTTGCATGGGCTGTGGGGACAGAGCTGTCCCACCGCTGCTGCTGCCCATGGGGCAGGCAGGGCTAACCCACTGCCATCGCTGCCTTTCCAGTTAATGCAAGCTGAAGTTAGAATTAAAAGCAAACTGAAATTAATATTCTAAGAATTAATTGTTCCAGGAGTCTCTGGATGAGGCACCAAAGAGCTACATTCCTGCAACTGAGTTTTTGTTGCTGCAGTGATCATCTAAAATGAGTTGTTGAAGCTGGTTCCCCTCCTGCCCTCCTCAAAAGCTCTCATATCTTTTCACAATATAAATGATGTTTAGCAGAGAAAGAAATAGGTATGGGGGTGCAGCTTAAGAAGGAATTTGTCTTTGGCCATAACCCCTCCAGCAGAACTGTGGTACAGGGTAAGAGGCAGCTAAACCAAGTCCTCAGTCTAATCAAAGCCTATCAAGATTCACAGTACATCTAGCAGTAATTGTGTCTGTTTTCTGGAACAAGGAAAAGGCAGCAGAAAATAGGAGGGAGGTTTAACTCTTTCTGCATGAAAGGATCCAACCCGACTCCATGTGTTGCCCCATCTCAAAGCAGGGGGAACATCTCAGGGTGACAACAGCCAAGACAGAGATAGGAAACAGGCGCTACTGGGAGACTTGCTCAAGGGACAGCTGAGGTGGGTGGCAGTCCCTGCACCAGCTTGGGATGAAGGGACCAGAGCCAGGACTCTGCTGACCCTGAGGGCAAGGTGTTTGTAGGCAGAAATGCAGCCCCACCATCCCTGAAGATGAGGTAGGCAGGGATACGAGGCATTGGGGGGTCATAGATTGACCCATGGTGCTTGTCCCAGCCCTGGAAGCATGGATGTACTGGGAGGATTTTGGCACAGGGACTCTCAGACACCCTGAGTGAAAGCTGGAGCCACCAAGCCCTGGGTAGCTAAGGGATGGCTTGGTGCACACTCCTGGAGTGAGCTCATGTCCCAAAATCCCACTGGAGGGATCTCAATGGAGTTGTAAGTTCTGGTGTTTCAATCCCTTCTCCATCCCTCTCATCCTCTTCTTTAAGCTCATCCAGACAACACCTAGCTCAAGGTATTGGCTCCTACAGCTCCTCTTCTTGGACATGTGCCCTTACATCTGCCAGACCAGCATCTCCAGAGCAGGGCCAGGTCAGCTCAGCGTGCCCAAAATTGCTACCACCTAACCCGTGCCCACAGCACCAGGGACTGCATGGGAACCACAGGGGAAAATGGGTCTGCCTTGGGAACATCTCCTCTATTGTCCAGCCTCCAGCATCAAAGCAGAAACCTTGTGTGGTATCAAAGCAACACATCTCAGCCAGAGAAAAGCCTTGCTTGTTCACCTGAGCAGCAAAGGATGCATCTCCTCCACTTCAGACTGCAAGCTCTAGTAAATCCAGAATAGTCCTCCTTCAGTCCTGGTGCAAATTTAGGGCTTGCTGCTTTTCAGAGGCACTCCTGCTCCACTCCTCCTGTGATTCAGCTTGTCTATCACTTTCTGGAAATACCTCCTCTGGCTTGTCAGAGGAAAAACCCAAGCCAAGGTCTGGCAGCAGCCAGTGCAGATGTCACAGCCAAGAAGTTGGCTGCTGGATGGAGAAACTTCATGCTGACCTCAAACCCCTTAAAATTTGCATGTCTTGTGCCTTCAGTGAAGGTTTGGTTCTAATCCCATTCAAAGCTGTAGGAAAACTCCCCTTCTCACGTACATGCTGATCCCCAGAGGGGTTGGCTGAGAACACCCTTGGAGCAGACACTCTCCATAGGTTTTAGCAGTGACCTTTCCCTTTCCAAACTCTGCAGCCAGAAAGGCTCTTGGACACTTCCCACCACTTCCCAAGAAAACAACCTGGAAATTACACCTTATCTTTTTGTGACTTTAGGTCACACCTGATGGAGGTGGAGCAGAGAAGGTTAATTGAATAGAAAGAACTATTGGAGCACCTTGTACAACATTGAAATAGGAAACGTGGTGAGCCCCTTGGCTGAGCTCCTGCAGCCTTTCACCTCCAGTCAGGCATGTCCCCTCTGCACTGGGTGGGTGAGATGGGAAGGTTTGCAAGGCACTTTTTCTTGTGTTAGAAGATAAACAGCTCTTTTCTGAACTGCTTCACCAAAGCAGCCCAGCATTATTGCACAGGTACTTCTGATTTCCTGCCACCATTTTACTCATGTTTCTAGCAGTGTTTAAATAATTCCACTGTAGTATTTTAGTTAAACTGAAAACTGTATTTCTTTGTTATGGATGGGATCTCCAGAAAATTAATAATTCCAACAAAAAAATTTTAAATCACAAAATTATTAAGAAAAAAGGAAAACTGCTGGGTTTTGAGCCCTGAGATGCGATAGTAGTCTTGAAGCTTCTGGTAAGCCATTCTCTTGAGAAGCAGCTCCAGGTCTCTCATGTCATCTGAGTTGTGGGAGACCAACCAGTGATGGCTTCACTAAGATCTCTGGGAAGAAATCTAAAACAATGGGAAGACTTTTGCCATGTTTTGCCTCCCAGCACACTTTGTCCTGACAATAGGTGGACACCAAGCTGTTACTGCTGGCAAAGAGGGAGGAATCAGCCTGTGATAAGAAGAGGCTGAAGCCACCAGGTCTGCCTGAGGCTCAGAGCTAGTCTGCTGGGCACACAGGCAGCCTGTCATGTGCAAGTAATTAATAGATTGCAGATTTAAAGAAAAAATAATTAGTCCACCAGGTCTGATCTTTTCTCTTGGATGCAGCATTGTTGAGTGTAAGAGAACCATGTCCTCATGCAATCCTTGTGATTGCCTGAATGAACCCTAATTAGATCATCTATGAAGCTTGAAAGAAAATACCTAACAGACAGGCAGAGCAAACCCACTGATTAAAAACAGGGGCTAAGTCTTCATCTGGTGCAAACTGGTATAATGGTGGGCAGAATTGCGCTGCACTGATTGATAACAGCTGATGATCTGCTCTGATATTATTAGAATAAACTCAAATTCAAATTTAGGACCACAAAATTGGTGAAGGGTTTAGAGGGGAAGCCATACAAGGAGACACTGCAGTCACTTGATTTGTTCAGCCTGGAGAAGAGGAAACTGAGAGGAGATCTCATGGGGGTCTAGAACTTCCTCCCAAGGGGAAGAGGAGGGGCAGGCGCTGATCTCTTCTCTCTGGCCACCAACGAATGCCAGGAGCAGAGGAAATGGCAGGAAGATGTGGCAGGGGAGGGTGAGGTTGGCCATGAGGAAAAGGTTCTTGAGGCAGAGGGTGGTGGAGCACTGGAACAGGCTCCCCAGGGAGGTGCTCATGGCACCAAGCCTGACAAGATTCCAGCAGCATTTGGCCAAGGCCCTCAGGGACATGGTGTGAATGTTGGGATTGTCCTGTCTAGGGACAGGAGTTGGACTCCATCATCCTTGTGGGTCCCTCCCAGCTCACAACATTCTGTGATCCTATGAAATATCTGCCATAAGAGACAGAGCATAAAAACACTTCCACTGCCCACCCAGCCAAGGGGCCCCGGACCCATTTTGGCATTTACTGGTGTGGGATCAGGGGACTGGTGTTTCCCACAACCCCCATAACCTGTTCTGGTTTCCTTGCAGTGTGACTCTGTGGACACGGGTGCGAGGGGAGCAGCAGCACTGCTTGAACCCCAAACGCCAAAACACAGTGAGGCTGCTGAAGTGGTACAGAGTATGGAAAGAAAAAGGCAGGTAAGGAAGAATTTGCTGAATGAGGGAAAATCTTGGCAGCAAGTTGGACAATCAGCATCATTCAGAGAGTCCATGAAAACGCACACGCTGCAAATGCTCTATCCAGCACAGAGGATGTATTTCATTACCAAAATTATGATTATAAATGGATGTTCTCAATGTTATTTCTTTCCTGTCACATGCAGTCCTCATTTCTATTTCAGGATTAGGCTGTTCCAACTATAAATAGTAATTATTTGCTGTTAAACTGCTCATCAGCTGATGTTCTCAGTTATTTACATACACTCATCTCCCTTCTACGGGTGAAAAGCCAAGATGAAAAGCTAATTTTTTTTCCACATAGTCACAAGGAAAGCAGTCAGCAGAGCTGAGAAGAGAGTGTAGAGTGTCCTGTCACACACTTTAATCACACCACCTCAAAAATCTTCAATTGCTGATGATGCAAATCTTTGCCAATTTTAACTACTCTATCAGTCCCAGGAGAACAATAACTCACTGGTAAGATGCTCTGCCACCTTCTGCCTTGCAAAGAGGATTTTTTTTCCTTTTTTTGCAAGCCATCAGTCATAGATAGTGAGAAACAAATTCCTGATATTTGATGGCCAGTAGTGTTGCCTCATCTGTAAAGAAGGAGAGCTGCCCAACTCCTATCACCTCTTCAGTCATGGCCAAGAGCCTCCAGTCCCACCAAACCCTGATCTTCCTCAACTGATGGGGAATTCGCCCCCCAAAACTGAGCCCACATGAGACCAGTGAGCAGCAAGCTCCATCTCTTGGCAGGTCCAAGGGTGTCAGCGAGCTCTGGTGCAACCACATAGGGCTCAGTGGCACAACAGTGTCCCTGTCCAGCTCCCTGCGCTGCTTCACAAACAGAGCACTCAGGGAAGCCCTGACTATTGCATAACCACAGATTTACACTCTCCCCTTATTTTTTTTGTTTGGTTTTATGGGATTTTTTGCTTTTTGGGGTTTAGGTTTTTTTTATAAGGCCATCATTAAGATGATGAAGGAAACTCAGCCCCAGGCTTGCAGATTCAAGAAACACGCAGGTTTCCCCAGAGCAGAACAGGAGGTGGGATGTCCTGTGCAAGGCTGTGAGGACCAGGGTCTGCATGCTGCAAACCAGCTCCTGCCTGCAGATAACAGAGCTGCTTGCAGTCTCCTCCACAGCCCAAAATATGGGTCAGCTTGAGGCTTCCCACAGTCCAGCCAGGGGATGGGGACTGGCCCAGCTGCCAGGGAGGGAAGGAAGGATGACAAGCCCAGCGTTCCCACAACTTTGGCTGCCAGCCTGGGAGTGCAGAAAGGCTGCAGGATAACTCTGTGTTTTACCTTTCTTTGCCTTGCCCAGCTCTGGCATTGCCCCACTGCAGCATGTCACCCCTGTGTGGCACCCAGCAGGTCCCTGACACTGCTCAGCAGGCAAGCAGGGCATCCAGCCAGCGTGGAGCCAACATTTCAAACAAAGAACCTGATTTAAACCCAGTCCTTTTAATCAATTCACAATTTGTCAGTGCCAGTTGTACCAAACCCACTGCACTGCTCCCCAGGAAAAAACAGGGAATTTAAAGACAAAGACAGCACAAACATGAAGTGTCTTCCCCAAAACAGCATTGCCCCTCTTTTTCCCCATGCCATGGAAGATTGCTTTCACCCAAAGAGCCTCCAAAACCAGGATCTGTCAGCAAACAAGCCTGTTAAGTTGTCTTCTCAGGACATAAACTAGAAAAATAAGAGTCTAATATTATTCTAAACATAGCAGATACTGTGAATTTATTATCTACTTATAGCTCATGATACACCTCAATATTTGTATACAAGAGGGAGATTTTCCAGTGGTTAAAGTGCATTAGCAGATGTGGATTTCTTCATCCTATGTATCTTGATAATCACGGCAGAGTGTGTTACTCCCCATACCTCTACAAGATGTGGAGGTATCAAAGTCCATCCCTCCTCCCAGGTGCTTTATGAACAACAATCCAGTGACTGCTGAAGTCAATAATTTACTTTCCAATTTACTTCAAAGGCTAAAAATCTAACTTTTTTTTGTTGTTTGGGGATTATCCTCATTATTTGGGAGTCATTTTTTATTATTCCCATTATTTGGGAGTCATTTCATTCATAGTCTAAACACCTTGCTCTCGGCTTTCCTTCTCTTTAGGGTTTATGAAGAATAAGAGGAAGCAGCATGAAGAATGGAGCGGACTCCCTTGGCTGGCATAGGATTGGGCTCTGCAGAAGATTATTTCTCTCACAGACATAAGACACAAATTCTATATTATTATAAAGCACTTTTTACCAAGGGTCAGTTTTTACATTTTATAGCCGTGTGCAAAAGGCTTCCAGATTTCACAAGTATCCGTTGCACTTCAGAATTCATACCCTTCTGCTCTGTACCGAGATTGGGAAAACTCATGGTTTTCATTTTACAGAGGTTGGTTTTGGGTTTAGGGTTTGGTTGGTTTTGGGTTTTTGTTTTAATTGTTATTCATTCATACTTCACTATGATTGCAATCGAGCTTTATAAGCTCATTAGACAAACCATAATGTTTATAAAGGTGTTCTACAGCCACGTCCCTCACCCTTGCGCAGGGGGAAAGCTTCAGTGCTGGGGTTGTTTGTTGGGTTTGCAGCCTCCACCATAGTCAGGCAAAGCGGGGACCAAAGATGAGTTTCCTGAGGAAGATGCCACCAAAATGTTGTGGTTGTAACCACAGAAGCGAGGTCCCTCAGCACATCGGCAAATGAGTATGAACATCACTGTGTACCTCTTCTTTATGGACCTGAGGTCTTACTGCAAGGTGAAGCGTACCATATGGCCCATTTAACATTTCATGCATTAGAAAGCATTTCTAGGTCATTTTTATTACTAAGAAAACATTTATTTTTTATTTTTTTTTCCACCTGAAGTTCTTACAGAAAGTTCATCTCTTCAGTTGAGACATTTTAAGCTTCAAGACTATTGTGTAGGATTTCCTAGATTTGTAGTAACAACAACAACAAGCAGCCTTTAAAAGGTACCTTTTTATGAAAAATACAATAAGGCAAACATATAAATACCTATATATGTTTTAGTCACAATACAACATATTCATTATTTTGAATGTAATACTTCAATGTTAAGCAGTGCATTCCTCTTTTTAAAAAAAAAGTAACAAAACTACCTTTTCATTTGTAAATATACTATAGGAAGTCTCCCTATATTATCTTTCTGTATAATGTACTGTACTGCTAAATTATCATATGCTATTTAAATGTTTGAAATATTTAGGAGGTTGCATGCAGATTTCATATTTCTTTCTAAGACAAATGAAAAAAGTAATAAAAAAATATATTTAAAAAAGCTGAAAATTGCTTTTACATTTCCTTAAGCTGTCAGGGAACTCCAGCCACTTCTAATAACTTTTTTTTTTTCCTCTGGATGAATTGGTTTGGGGAAAAACAATGAATCAGAGAATCTGATTTAGAGACATGGCAACTTGATGACAATGAAATCAGAGAATGTTATTCCAGTCCAATTTACTTCCCTTTCTCATTTTAGGATTTGGACTTTACCCAAACACTGAGGAATCTTGTTCCATACAGAAGGGCTATGCCACATGCCTATAGCCACTAGTCTGGTGTTATGTTAAATAAATGTAAATCAGCCACCTGGGAACCATATAAAAACAAGTGAAATGCAGTGATTTGGACAAGATCTGGGTTGAATTAGGGAAGGTTACACAAGGAAAGTCACTCAACAAACCTGTGAGCCACCTTCTCCTCTTTCTGTGCAGTTTCTGCCCTCACCCAAAGGGAAGGACTTTGCACCCAACAAGGCTCCTACACTGCTCCCCAGCTAAAAAGGAAAGCAACAGATAGGAAGGGGAAAGCCAGCAAGAGTTTAAATGCATTTAAACCTCCTGGTGTTCCCCAGACAGCACCAATCTCCTTTCTGGCTGCTCCCAGCTGTGCAAAGTCACAGGTTTTACTCCAGGTTGCTGCTGAGATCAGTGTGACTCCTACAATAGTGATCCTATAACTGTGCAATAAAGGTAATGCTTGGCCTCAGCTCAAGGGTTTCCTCCAGTTCAGACAGGGGAAAAAAATATATATTATTGTTTATATAGTGGTGGTTTCACTGGGCCAGCACTTGGCTGCAGCCAAACACAGCTACTCGCTCACTCCCCCACCTCCAGGGGAGAGGGTAAGGAGACTCTTAGGGTAAGATAAAAACAATATAATCATTTAAATAAAATAAAACTTAAAATAATAATGATATTAAAATGATAACAATAATAATAATAGTAGTAATAAAATACAGAGAAGAGTGATACTCAGTATAATTGCTTACCAACTAACCCGTTCCCAGATAATGATCCCAAAGGAGTGACAATCCCAAACCAAAACCACAGTCCCAGGAGAGCAAGAGACTGAGTGAAAGCGAGAGAGAGCAAGAGAGGAAGAGCCCCTTATGAATCTCCTGCCCATGGGGGACAGGAGATGGAACAGCCCCTTGGCAGAACCAAATGCCCATGGAGCTGATTCATTTCAATATTCCTCAAATTCCCCTGAGATCGAGATCTTGCGCTTGCAGATCAGCAAAACACAAAGTCCTTCACTTCCAGCAACAAAAATGAAAACATTAGTGTGTTATCAGTGTTCATCTCATAACAAATCCCAGCTGAACCCAAAACACAGCACTAGCTACTAAATTCTAGCTACTAAAAAGAAACCCAGCTCTGTCCCAGCTAAAAACCAAGTCATATATATACTTATTTACTGTGATAATACCCTGGCAGAGCTGAAGAAGAAAGAGCCGATGGATTCCAAAGTATTTCCCTATTCCACACAAGAATGGAGCTACAAGCTTCAGATGTCTATTAGCAAAAAGCTTGAGAAAGATCCCAGAGGATTTAGGAAATTAAACCTCTGGGGATATCAACCACAAGATGCTGCTTCAGGCTGAGCATCTGAACCCAATCTCCAGGCAAATCCAGACCCGTGGTCCAGCCAAGCTG